AGTGCTGACTGTACTCTGGTCCGAAATTCAAGGTGACACCTGTGGAGCAGATTTCGTTTGCTTGCATTTCTGTAATTGAGGCATATTAGAAAGTCTTTCCTGTTGAAATCTGTTTAGATTCAAAATCCACTGCTGGTAATGCTTGTATGAATTCTCTGGATTATGGCTTATAAATATATAGTGATTTTGGCAGAGATTGGCTCTGTGGGCTGACAAAAATTTATCCTCTACAGAATTTGGGTATTAGCAATGTCATGTTGTAAAAAGATGTATTGAAAACTACTGAAAGTTTACTAATTCCAAGGCTTAGTTGTTACAAAAGGCTGAACGTGTGTGGCAGACTATTAAACCCTAAGATGTTGGAGATGCAGTTCTCTTACACACTCTAAGTTGACGCAGGGCAAGCACCTTTGTAGAGGCTTGGGAAGTAGTCATACGTGAAAGTTATTTTGGTTTTTGGAGCTAGGGTTTATGTCCTTTATCATCTGTTTTGTTAGACAATATTTTTGAATAAAACTATTCAAAAGTGTTGAACAGCCTCAAACCCCTCAAAGGATTTGCTTCCATTTATTTTTGATTTATTACATACACACATACCTTAAGTGTGAGTAATTTCATATTTATGTTGGTAATAAGTATCTTATAAAGTATCTTTATATTTTAGTACATGACTAATAGATTATAAGCAACCAACCTGAAGATAATTATTGTATTTTTATTATTCATTCATTATGCCAAAAATTAATGAACAGGAAGACACAGCTCTTAGCTTCAAGAATTTGATAATTAACAAGTAGTTAACAACATAGATCCTTTGATAAAGTAATGAACAGTGTACAAAAATGGTGTTAGTAGACATTGCTTGGCCTTGAGGGTGACAAGGAAAACAAGGCCTTGAGGAGATAATAGCTCATTTGTGTAATACCTAACAAGGAGTTTGAAGGGGTGAGCATGGTGTCACAGCACGTAAAGCCTGTGCTTGGGATGCCCAAATCCTATGTCTCAGAGCCCGTCGGAGTCTCAGCACCTCCTCTGCAGATCCAGCTGCCTGCTAGCATGTACCCTGGGGAAAGCTGCAGGATGTGGCCTGGGTGCTGGGGTCCCTGCCAATCTTTGAGGAGTCCAGAACCAGTGGTTCTAAAATCTCTCTCACCCCCTCCCCCTGTCGCTCTGCAAGTTGATGAAAATAACTTTGGCGCGGGGTGGGGGGAGTATTAAGTAAAGGATGACTAGCAATTATACAGATGAAGGTGGTTGGTGAAGTAAAGGCAGAACACAAGGATCCCATTCCAGGGACTGGTGCTGAGGTGTAATAGGTAGAGCTGTTGCCAGTGACTCTCGCATCTGGTATGGGTGCCAGATGGTATGGGGTAGTTTGAGTCTCAGCTACTGCCTTCCAATCCAGTTGCTTCATAATGCACTTGGTAAGGCAACAGAAGGTGGCCCCACATTCTTGGGACTGTGCACCACATAGGAGACCAGGAAGAAGCTCCAGGCTCCTGACTTTGGTTTGGGCCAGCCCCAGTTGGCCATTTGGAGAATGAATCAGCAGACAGAAAATACTTTCTCTCTCTCTCTGTAACTTAGCCTTTAAAATAAATCTTACCAAAAAAATCCTTTCCACACAGAGAAATAGTCTGGAGACAAGAAAAGTATAGTGTAATTAGTTTACCACAGTTTGCTTTCTGCAGAGGATCTTCTGTGTAAGGTCTCCGGTGGCAGGATGGTCTCCTGTGGGAAGTATATTGCAGAGTTGTGTTGAGAGACATGGTTTGAGACATAGATGAGAACCAACTCATGAAGACCCTGAAAGTCACACTGAGGAATTGGACTATCACCCTGAGGGCTGTGGAAAGAGACTGGAGGTTCTAAGCAGCAATGGATTAACTTGACATTTTGAAAGATTGTCCTCACTACCAAATTAGAGATACTGTGTGAGTGGGCATTCCCAGAGTCAGGGGAAGTGGGATCTTCACATCATCCAACTCTGAAATGGTGGTGGTTTTATCTAAGCCCAGGAAATGAGACTGGAGAGAAGAGAATATGGGTGAATTTAAGAGACATATCAACAGCATTTTAATGATTGATTATATCAGAAATTTGTGGGAAGGTGAACTAAATTGTGTTTAGATTTCAGTGGAACATGGGTATTACGTCTGTGCAGCAGACTGTTTAGTTGCAAAAAACAGTTTAGTGCAGTATTGTGTTGGGGAAAGTGTCTGTGGAATAGCCAGATGGGATGGCCATTAAACAACTGGCTTTGTGGCTTCAAAGATAGGTGTTAGGAAACAGTAGCTTCTAGTTAGAAAATGAAGCCCTATATAGGGACTTCAGTAGATTCTTAAAAGTTTCTAAAGAGAAAATGTAAATAATTTGGTTTTGTTTTCTAAAATGAGCAATGTTCTTAGGAAATTAGTCTTTTGGTTTCTAAAATGTATTTACACAGAAACATTTTCATGATGTGTTTTATAATTTCTATCAGTTTATGTTGTCTTTTTTTTTTTTCACAAGTGAAATACTTTATTTAACAGCTTGGTTTTGATCAATATTATTTAGCTTGTTTTTTATACAGGTTTTAGTTTTAACCAAAATATGTGTCAGCTGTCAAAATAGATACGGGAAAATGAAGGTATTACAATAATTCTGGAATTTTAGCAAAATCTATTTATTTATTAGATTTTAACAAGTTTGGAGCAATGGAAAAATTCTTGGGTTTATATATTTAATTTTATTATGTTTTTTTGTTTTTTTTTTTTTTTTATTGTTCCTTACACTGTATTATGTAGTACAGTTTTATAGGCGCTGGGGATCCCCCCCACCCCTCCCATACCCCTCCCCCCATGGTGGATTCCTCCACCTTGTTGCATAACCATAGTTCAAGTTCAGTTGAGATTCATTGCTTGCAAACACATGCCTAGCATAAAGTTCAGCGTCTTATTGTCCAGATAAGTTCAGTGGCCTCTTGGGGAGACCTTCTATGGTCTGAAGATAGGTCTAACAGAGTAAAGATCCGGTCAGTTAAAAGCCCCAACAAGGCCTCAGTATCAATATACAACATTATGGAATTAATTGACATAGTAATGGGTAGACAATATGTTAAAAATAATGCAAGTTCCATTCTTCGAAACATCTGGGTTGAGACAGTATCAATGACAGGTTCAAAAAATAACCAACAATCAAACAAAAAATTACAGGTTAAATCAAGGCAAACATGTGGTATCTAATCTTTTGGGATTCACTCATTTCCCTTAGCATTATAGTTTCCAGTTGTGCCCATTTAGCCACAAAGAACTGCATTTTGTTTTTTTTAATAGCTGAGTAGTATTCCATGGAGTAGATGAACCAAAGCTTTCTTATCCAATCTTCTGCTGATGGGCATTTCGGTTGCTTCCATGTTTTTGCAATTACTGATTGTGCTGCAATGAACATAGGGATGCATGTTGGTTTGTCGTAAAACAGGTGTTTTGGATATATTCCTAGGAGTGCTATTGCTGGGTCATATGGTATGCAGATTTTGAGTTGTTTGAGTGTTCTCCAGACTGATTTCCATAAAGGCTGTACCAATTTGCAGCTCCACCAGCAGTGGAGTAGGGTTCCCTTTTCCCCGCATCCTCGCCAGCAAGCGTCGTTGGTGTTCTTGTTTATGTGGGCCAATCTTACTGGTGTTAGGTGGTACCTCATCGATGTTTTAATTTGGATTTCCCTTATTGCTAGGGAGCTGGAACATTTTTTCATATGTTTGTTTGCCATTTGGACTTGTTCCTTTGTGAAATGTTTGCCCATTTCCCGTGCCCATTTCTTGAGTGGTTTGTTTGTTTTGGTTTTTTGGTTGTTTTGAAGTTCTTTGTATATCCTGGAAATTAGCCCCCTATCGCCTATATCGTGTGCAAAGATCTTCTCCCACTCTGTGGGTTGCTTTTTTACTTTGTTGATTGTTTCCCTTGCTGTACAGAAGCTTCTTAGTTTGATGAGGTCCCATTTGTTTATTCTGTTCTCAACTGCTATTGCTTTTGGTGTCCTTCTTAGAAAGTCGGAACCTACTCCTAGGTCTTGCAGGGTATTTCCTACATTTTCCTGCAAGAGTTTGAAGGTTTCTGGATGTAGGTTTAGGTCTTTTATCCATGTAGATTGGATCTTAGTGTATGGTGATAGATGTGGGTCTATCTTTTTGTTTCTACAGGCTATCAGCCAGTTGTCCCAACAACATTTACTAAAGAGTCCTTCCCACTTGCTTGAGTTGTCATTGGTCTTTTTGTCAAAGATTAATTGGCTGTATTTGTGTGGGTTCCCTTTTGGTGCTTCTATTCTATTCCATTGATCTTCCTTTCTGTCTTTGTGCCAGTACCAGGCTGTTTTGATAACCACTGCTCTATAGTATGTCCAGAGGTCCGGGATTGTGATTCCCCCTGCTAACTTCTTATTTTTCAGGATGGTTCTAGCTATTCGTGGTTATTATGTTTCTGGAAGTAAAAGCCGTATAAAATATTTTAAAACTATATGTATATTTAATAACATCTGTAGAAATATTCATTGTTCATTTTCTCCTTATTTTTAGCTTGCAAAAATGCTTAAATTTTTGTAAATAAATTAGTTTAGATCTATGAGTAATGTAAATATATATAAACATAGGAGTGCAGGCAATTTTTTTAGCATTAAATTGTTTTATTGTAAGACCGCATAACTTTATGCTATGCAATTCTAATGTATTTAGATATATTTTAATATCTCAAGTATAACTGAAATTCTTCTCCCAACAATGTGTTTGCTGTGAATATTTAACTTTGGTAAATTGATAATAGTTCAGTTTCCCAATAGTTGACTAATAGTTTAATAATAACTTATTCTGTAATCTGACTTCTCTGTGTATTTCTTATGTGATTATTTTTGAATGCGTTATAGCTATCTTGTTTCCTAAGCTGTGTATGCAAGCAAATCATTTAATTATTGAGTACTGTGATAATAATTAAATACATTCTCTGATGAATTTGCTTCGTTTTTAGGAAAATGGGTCTCCTGAAGAACATGCTATCTATGTTTGGGACCATTTCATATCCCAGTCCGCAGCTGAGAATGTGTTTTTTGTTGCTCACAGCTATGGAGGACTTGCATTTGTTGAACTGGTGAGTGGACTTTTAACCCTTTTTCATTCCTGGTCTCCTTGCACATTTGCTCCCTCTGTTCCATCTTAGCCATTTTTTTTTTCCTTTGGTGTTACTGTTTTACGAGAAAAGAAAATGAGATATTTCAAGGAAATAATTTTATGACATTTATTTAAAAGTGACAGAGATTTTCGATCAGAAGGCTTTCTGTTCTTTGGTTATATGTTACGTCTAATTTCTATATTATACTCTTCGTTTTTGTTTCCTGTTTTATGCAAACACCATTGAAGTTTATGCTGTCAGTATTTACAATTTCAAGAGACCCTTTGACTGTGTTAAAATGTTTTGATCATTTTAATAGACTTTCCTCCCTAGTGAGTAGTATTATTTGATCAAAACTTGTATGATTAGTATTAAATGCCAGAAATCTTCCCATTACTCCACCTCTGTATAGAATACATTGCCTAGCCATTAGATCATTCAATTTCAAAAAATAATCTGATTCCGGGAGTTAAGATTATGTGTACATGATAGAACACATTACCACAATTTTTGAATTTTGTCTGGCTTCATACAGTTTCACCAGTATTACAGTCTTGTGCCAGTCTGGTGAATGTGGTATATAATCCATACTAAATGTGCACTGATGAAAAATTTGTGTTTCCATGTCCATAACCCGATATCACATGAAAGTATCATGCTTTAATAAAGTAACTAATTTGTTAAAAGTGCATTTGATAATTTTAAGTCTGTATAGATCAAAGTGAATGTTGAAAATAGGCATAGCATTGATTGTCTGTGTTTCTGGGCTTTGGTGTGTATCTCTCTTTGTCATGGAAATTAAATATATTTCTGTGGCCTTTTCAACCTCCCTACACCTTATTGCTTACTCATATGATTTAGACATAAAACTAGTGCTGACACTTGACACCTGAGAATACTTCAACCGAACCCTTCAGTGCTTTTGCTAGCTTAAGAACAATAAAGAAGTTGAGTTGTTTACTTTTGAAATTGAGTCCAGTCTTGAAGCATTATTTTCAAGTACTTCTTTAAACTCTGCTAATTTAATTAAATTAGAAATATATACAGTGGATATCTTGATAGTTCTTTAAACACACTAAAAGATGTACTTTTTAAAAATCTTAATGTTGTTTTTCAGATTTCTCCCTTCAGCCTCAGTAGACTGAACTGCGTAGTATATATGGATATAGATATAGATACGCAGTGATGTAGATACAGCTTATTTTACTGTTTGTTTTAAGCTGTTAGACTTCAAGCATGAAAATTCTTGGTGTGTTTTGTGGTTTAAAATGTCTGAAAGCCTTTATAAGACTAGTGAGGTTTCTGTAAAACATACCTCCTCCTCTGTGTGTGTGTGTGTGTGTGTATGTGTGTGTGTGCATGCGCACGCGTGCATTTTAACACAGCTTGTAAAAATCTTTTCTGCACCAACTATGGAATATAAGTGTGTTTTGGACAGTTTTTCTGATGAAGTTAGGATACCAGAGTTAACAGTTGACCAGTGTGTCACTCGTATTTCGCCTGTCCTCCTTGTCACACACTGGTGGATATTTCTCCACTTTTGTTCCACTTTAATATAAAGCACACAGATGTTTCAGAACAAGACTTGACTTCTGACCTTGAGGCTATTAGGGTCAGAGTCCTCAGGGCCTGTGAAATTATCACAAGCTGAGCTAAAGTTTTTCTCCATCACAGGAAGTAACCAGTAAGTAAGAAGTTAAAAAGGAGCTTTGTCAGAGAGACAAGATGGTCTCAGTGAGGGTCAGCCTCTGTAGTCTGCTGTCTCCGCAGGAGGCACATGCATGGGAGGAGGAATAGAATAGAACCACTGGCACATCACAGATCTGTCAGGCAACGCCAGGGCTGAGGAGTCTATCATGTAATATACCTGTTTCCCTCTTAAAATATTAATGGTGATTATCTCAACCTCCTATATTTGCCACTTTTTGTGAAATAATTTTGATAGGGGCATGCAATGGAGAGCCATACAGATGGGGGCAGCAGAGGAAGAAGTGGCTTCTCTCCTAATGAAATGGATTCCTCTAGGAAACAGATGACATTGTGCACTGCTGAATTTTACATTAACCTTTTGACAAATTTTATTAATATGTTTGAGTATACTATGTTTCTGTTTCAAAATCTTTTTCTAAAGATAGCATTGTCAAAGAAACAACAAGTGTTGAAATGCATTTAACCCTTTTGCTTTTTACTTAAAATGGAGTAATTTTTCCCAATACTCACTATTCTTAGGGAAGAGTCATGGTGCTTAAAATCTTGATAAATATTTATTCTCTCAGGCTATTTTAGGTAGTATAAGACATAAAATCACTTTACATGGCTTAAAAATTTTAAAATTAACTTTACCAAAAAAAGGAATCATGATGATAAACGGTATTTAATTCTTAAATTATGGTTTAGGCTTTTTTCTTCTTATCTTACAATTGCATTGTATACTGTGAATATTAAATTTCTTGTATTCCAACAAGATTTCCATTTTCTAATTGTCATAAAATTTTATTCCCAAGCAAAGATTCTACACACACACACACACACACACACACCCCTTTGGGAACAGTCTGAAATTGCAGCATCACTTGAATGTTTAATAATTGTTGCTGCCTTTGTAATACATGCTTATGCTGTTTTTTGGACCATGAATTTCAAGAAAGATCACCAAAAATATAAACTGTATGGCAAGTAATTGCAATTGCTTGTGGTGCATATTATTTGATAGCAGGACAAGAGCAAAGAGTGATGAAATGTTGGCATTTACTGACTTAAGACTGTGTATAGTTACGATTTAAGGTGCCACTGATGGACACCTGAGGGTCAGTTATTTTTATATTACTAAATAATTGCACAGCTTGTATGTTTTGCTAATTATTATCTTTAAAATCGGAAATCCTTCCCTATCTCTATCCCCATTTTCTCCTCTCTCATCATTTTCCTGTTCTTTAACTTTTCAAAATCAGTCTTGATAAGACAAGTTCAGGTACTGAGTCTAGCTATTAACCCTTCAGTATAAAAGGAAACAAGTATTTATCTCATGAATTGATGTTAAATTCTTGAAGATAAAAAAGAAAGTAATATATGTGTGTTATATATACGTGTGTGTGTGTTATTTATACTGTATGTTTAGAATGATGCCAATCTGCGAAGTTCGTTGTTAGACTTTCATTTACAAGGCCCTGAATTCATGTCTCAAGAATGAAGATGCTTTTGCATTTGATAAAATTAATCGTCATTGAACGTGGCAACCTCATTTGAAAAGATATCTACACATAATACAGTTTGCTTTTGCTTCATTTTCCAACCAAAAGCTAATTTGTAAAACTTTTAAGCTCACTTAAAAAAATTAACTGTCACTTGAAAGCAATGTAGCTTCTGACCTTCTCATCTTCTTTCTAGCTACTTTGATGAAGTGACTGATGCTTCCATTGTTGACCAGTTCAGAGTGCTTTGTGCTTAGCTTTCCAGATGATGATGAGTGTGGCAAAATTAATTAACTTATAATATCTGTTTTATTTAGAAATGAGCTGATTTTCTAGGCCAATGTCCAGTACCTCTCCTAGTTGACCTTCCCTGTTGATCTTCCCCTCCTGTAAACCTTCCCTGTTTACATTGCTCTATATAAAATCAATTTGCATTCCATTTCTTGCCTTAGTCAAAAGCATATAATGAGATGTCAGTAAATTTAACAGAAATAGTGGAATTAAAAGATGTTTATTTTTGTGCAAAAATATTTTTGAAGTCCGTATATAGTTTTTTCACAATAACATTTTCCATAAATGTTTTGAAGATCCCTTGAATCAGTTTCAGTAAACGCATTTCACTAGTTTGTTGAATTCATCTGAAATAATATAATACTTGCATTTTTAATACTTTTGTTTCCTTCTCTGTGTTGTTAGTGGTATATTCCTCACCACCATTAAAAACATCACTTAGAAATGTGTGAAAACAGCTCCTTTTGAAAATGAATGTCTACCCACTTTTGATTTTGGTTTCTCCATGCTTGTCAGCACTTGATTGGCACCTCACTTGCATGTGAATTAAGGAATGAAGGGAACTCTTATTTTCCTGCCATTGTTGCACACTGGGCTCCATGGCCTCCAGGCAGTCTAAGCTGCCCTTCAGCAACTGCGAGAGGACTGTCTTTGGATATAGCTGTGTGAAGACACTCAACCTCACTCTAATCCCAGTGGATCTTGTAAAATTACTTGGGGTGTGGTTTGTGTTTGCACTGAAGAGAAAATGGGATGGAACTAAAAGTAATGAAAGCAGTTAACTGAGACCTTAAAAGAGTATCATTTCTATTTTTCCCACATTGAACAAAGTAAATTGAATGTTGGTGGGATGGCTGCCTGATGTGATCAACAGGAAGAGCTGAAAATCAGGCTGGTAGGAATCCAGAGTTGAAGGAAGGTAAAAGGGGAAATAAACCAAAGGAACACTAAGTCACGCTACTTTAAATATCTGCACGAGGAGTTGGTCAGTGTAAGAGAGCTTAAGTCTTAACAACAACTCTTTTACTAACCCAACTTATTTTCCCTACTTTCTACCTAATTATATAATAATTAATTACCTCCATCTGATTCTCAAATTCGGCCTAATCAGATTTTCACTATATTAGTCTATGTTAAGTGTTACCCTTTTACTTGTGGTTTAAGTTTCTGCCTGCTCTATCCCCTTCTTCCAGTCTCACTGGGAAGATTTCTTCTTTGTAAGCTTCTTAGACTTGTAAGTATAGTCTTTTTGAATAAAAATGGGGAAGTACTTAAGATTTTCATACCCTATCATCATTAAATGAAAATGTATGAAATAAATGGAGAAGACTTTCTAGTTCATCCCAGTTGTCACTTATAGCATTGTTAACTTTTCTTGTTCCCATTCTTTTAATTCTTGATATGTGATTTATATATTTTTATCAAGATGTAATTGGGATTGAGCTTTATTGAGATATAATTTATATACTATAAACCATGGCCTTGAGTATCTCAGAG